TGAAATTAGCCATTAATTGGTTTTGTAACTCATAATTGTATTTCCTCGATAAAGTCATCATCGTTTTTAAACTAATTCTTAGTTTTTCATGCATTATATACTATTTGAAATATCAAAATACCGTGTAAAATCCAAAAGCGACATGAAAAGTTATTAAGCCTAGTTAATCTCTGATTAGCTTACAATATAAATATATAGTACTCAACTGATAGATTTCAACACATAAACATGATAAGTTTGAGAATAGCAAAATTAGCATCCGATGTATAATGATGTGAGAAACCATATTTTTTATAGATAAATTTAAAAATATATAAAATATATATAAAAACATATTTCAAAAGGGAGAACGAATATATAAAGAGTTAAAGACTATAACTTTGTTGGCAGATAGAAAAGAAAGAAAAATGTAAACTTTACTGTAAAAAAAATGTGATAAAATGAGAGTAGAAAAGAGTGAACTTTTGCATTGGGTTCCATTATTTATCATAGAGTCGGCCTTTTTGTGGCTGCTTGTGGGCCTTCTCACTTCACCGACCTTCTTTACTTCCATAGTTCCATTGCATGCTGTATGCGTTTTTAGCTATTTAACATTTTAAATACATAATATATTCAAAATGCCATATTCAAACTTAATTTTCCGTGATGCAATGGTTGGTATACTATTAATTCAAGTTTTGAAAACGTGATTTTGTTATTTTTCACCATTCATACATTTGAATTTTCATGTGTTTTAAAAAGTGATTTTGCTATAGATAATGCACCTTTTAAAGATATAACTAAGCTAAATGAAAAAATCATTAATCTATGTAGACTATTTAATAATTATGTAGCAGAAAATTGGTTTAGTACAATTTTTTCTGCTACATTTTTATTTTGCTATTTTGTCATTTGACTGCATCTTTTGACATATCAGTCATAACCACTATTTCACAAAACACGAGCATTGACTTCGATCAATAGATTACATACACTGATAGGGGTTTTTAGTCTAATTGTTACTGTGAATCGAGTCCAACGTTTTGGCGGGAGGGTTTTTGGATTGTGTGATCAAGAAAGAGACATTTTTATTTGGTTTCAAGTAGTTGCTGTGAAACGGATGTAAATGCGAAATATATGGAAAAATATGATCTAATAAACGCATTGAAACAAATATCTACAAAACTAACACGTAAAACTTCTATAACACACATTTGAAATTTGATTTTCCCAATGATGACCTTGCGAACAATATGAAACAAATATTAACAAGTTGTGGTAGTTGGTTGATTCTTACTCGTGGAAGAGTTTTCATATAAGTTTAATATCATTGGTCAATTCCTTACAAACATAAAATTATCTATTGATTTTTATTTAATTAGTCAAAATAATGTGTCATGCTTTAGATTAATAAAAAAGAAAAATGAATAAGCTATCTAATAACTATATTTACCATAAAAAAACGAGTAGGATATTAAAAATTTGAGTCATTCTTTAAATAAAATTAGCTTCATAGCTCTCTTATATACATATGTATTATATAAGAGAGTTAGCCATTTAAAGGAAACTCAAAATGAGGGAGCAAACAAATACCCTAAACTTATACATAAATACATACACATGACTTTGAATAAGAAAGATACAAATACAATTATGTAATATGTACGAGTGCTTTATATACATCTAGGACGACAAGTTTTGTTCGATATGTCCCACGTGGCATTCTTACATCATTATCCCACCTTCTAAATTTTGTGTCCACCATTTTCTAGTTGATTACAAAAATAGAATGGAATTAGAGAATTAATTAAGCTAAATATATGATTACTAAAGAGTGTATGTATCTTGTACGGTATATTAATTCAACCCTTCAAAATCTTTCTTTACAAGTCTTCCCTTTAACTCGTAGGACATATAATTTTATCCCCATACATATTTACTTTGCAAAATAAATAACAGTATCATATTTACAATGATAATTGATATGTATAAGTAAAAAATTTCGTAGTATTATCAATTATCATATTTGCTTTGCGAAATTAAAAAAAAATGTGAATTGTCAGAGTGCTTCGCTGTTTTTAAAATCCGTTATGACTCAAATTCCAAATTCCCAAACATCACGCGCTCACTTCACACGTGTGTCTCACTCAACCTGCTGGTCAAACTTTGAACTAATCAATCCCCAACTACTTATTTCATTTTAAATTAACAAAAATATTATCTTATCCCATGGGATTACGGAAAATCACAAATATATGTCCAAATAATATATACTTTAAATTCATTCTCTCTTGACTGTTGTAAGTAGCAACGGTCTGATCTATTTTTGTTTTTTTCGACAAAATAAATCTGTCTGAGCTATTTTTGTCTACTGAAAAAAGAATATAGAAAAACTTTCTGACCAGAAAAAAAATGTTATAATTTGAGTTATAAGAAAACAAAAATTTGAGTTATAAGAAAACAAAATAGGAAATAATTACCAAAGAAAATGGTTCAAGTTCGGTTCAATTGATTTGAAGCAGCTCGTTTGCATGATTTTTTTGTAAGTTTACAAATTACAGCGATACTTTATTTAAAAATAAAAATAAATTTTAGAAACACGAATTTAAAGTCTCAAAATATTTGAAAAGAAAAGCAATGGTTGCTGGTTTAGTCACGTAAATTGTCGTATACTCTTTT